TGCATATTACTATTGTTAAAGTAGTTATCCAGAGTACAAAATGGGAGTAAGAACACACTTAATTAAAAATCCAAGTTTTCCTTTTCATGAAAGAGTGCCTCCTTAGAGCTCATTGTTTTCTCAGTGTTAACCACTTCACAGGTTTTGTATCCTTGAGTTAGAAGCTTCTGTCATCCTAAATATTTAGTACATTCCGAAGGAAATTAACTTACATGCTTAATATTTATAGAAAACATTTTAAATTCAGTTAAAGTTTTATTTAAGGTCTAGGAATATGGCTTAGAGGTACATCAGTTGTCTAGCATGCATCTAGCTGTGGGTTTGTTTCCCATCACATGCACAAAATATCCCCAGAAGTTTCTTCCTTGTTTTATCTTTTTTTTCCCTTTGCTTTTCTAAGTTTTGAGACATGGTATCACTAAGTTTCCCAAGCTGGCCTCGAACTTGAAGTCCTCCTGCCTTGGCATTCAAGTAGTATCTTTATTTTCATTCAGAAACTTTTAATAGGTATAATGACTTCAAAGTGATTTGTATGTTGTGAGAGCTTGCTGGCATTTACTATAATGATCCCCTGTACTTTGCTGTAATAGTCCACTTTTACTAGATTCTAGACTCAAACAGATGATGATCCTGCCTTTCATTCTGCTAGTGGCTCATAGTGTGGTGAGCAGAAATTCATAATTTGATCCAATAGGTGAAAAGATAAGTAGGAATTAGTGGCAAACAAACAGGAAAGAGGAAGAAAGATATTCCAAGACAGGGTAGCAGTTTGTTCAGAAGTCAACATTTTTAGTAAGATAGAGATTTGTAGAATATGAGATAGCAAGAAATGAGGCAGAGCGATAAATAGAGATGAGGTTGTGGAAATTAGACTTCATTCTTAAGATTGTGAAAAAAAAAACTGAAGAATTTTAAGCATTGAAGGTTACCTGCTTATATTTTAGAACAGGAGCTGGGAAACTACAGCTCTTGAGCACTACAGTCTGTGGCTTGTTTATGTACTGCCATCAAGCTTAGAATGGTTTTTAAATACAGGACAGTCTATATGTGGCCCACAAAGTTTACAACATTTATACTTTGGTCCTTTAAATGAAAGTTTGTTAGCCTTTATTTGGGAAAGATCTTTTCAGTTCACGATGAAAATGAATTGAATGGTTCAAATCTAGAGACAGACTGGGAGCAAGAGAACCAAAACCAAGGCAGTAGTGGTGAGAATAGATTTAAAGATATCAAGGAGGCCAGATATGGTGGTTCATGCCTATAATCCCAGCCCTTGAAAGGCTGAAGCAGGAGGATCACTATGAGTTCGAGGCCAACCTGGACTATATAATGAATTCAACACCAACCTAAACTATGTAGTAAGATCCTGTCTCAAAAACAAAAGTAAGATTGAGAGGATTTGCTGATCATTGGATATAGAGAAAAAGAAGTCCAAAGCTTGGTCTTGGACAAATAACAGATGATAATGGCATTCTCTAAGAATGGAAAGGAGAGGTAACGGAGGAAGGAAATGATGGGACTGGACATATTTCTCTTATCAGGTTGGGTTGTCTTAAATTATGGTGCTTCTAATGACTTCCCTAGGATGGACCTCCACAGAACAAGCCAACACACATCAAATTTGGTTCTGATAGCGAAAGTGAAGTTGAGGAGACAGCCATTCAGCAAAACCTGCCAGGAGAGGAGTTGATAAAAGTAAGATGTACCAAATGTCCCTGTAGACATGAGTCTGCTTTGCATATTCACGTCTCAGCTGTTGTATTCTACAACCTCTATAAAATGGCCAGTGAAACCTGAAATCCTCCTGGGAGCTATAATGAGACCCAGGTGTCTGCCCAACTACTGCACATTGAGATAAGTCCTGGAGCTCTTAGCCCACATAAACTTTTTTTTTTTTTTAACTTTTTTTTAAACTCATTTTTTTCTACATCATCTGTAAAGTCACATTAACATTAGTACAAAATGACAGAGACTGCTCTTGTGTGTAATAACTGCCCCCCCCCCCACTCCAACTGGCATTGGAAAGTCCATGAGAGCCCTGCCTGAGTCAGAAGTTTCCATCCAGTCTTCCACCTGCTTGTTCTTATTATATTTTCTGGATTGTTTTTAAATGTGGTGAGACTTCATTGTGAAATGCTGGTTGCCTCAGTTAGTGTTTCTCTTTTCATGTATATACCAGGAATCCATGGCTAAAGCATCTGGGAAGCTATTTGACAGTGACAAAGAAGAAGAATCAGATTCTGAAGATGACAGTGACAGGTTCAAAATTAAACCTCAGTTTGAGGGCAGAGCTGGACAGAAGGTTCGTGAAGACTAAAAACTGAAAAACTCATAGCATGTCCTAGTTTACCATAGTCCGAAAATCTAGGTAAATGTGAGCAGATTGGGGCCTGCATTATGGGGCTTTGTATTTCTTTGGGGAGAGACTCCTTTTGACTTCAAGTTGGCTCAAGGAGTTATACAGATGTTATCAATGTAAATTTCTGGGCTGAGGAGGTATACTTGGCAAGTCCTCTTAGAAGCAGTTTCTTGGGAGTATGGTTGTCAAGTGTGTTTACTTTTTGTCTGTGTAGCTCATGGATTTGCAGTTGCACTTTGGCAGTGATGACAGATTCCGTATGGACTCTAGATTTCTAGAGAGTGACAGCGAAGAGGAGCAGGAAGGTAAGTGCTTCATTGTCTAAAGGGTCTTGATGTCAGAACTAGCAGTGTGAGAAATCTTCATTAAACACATGAAGAAACTACTCCTGAGGCTTCAAAGTCTGTAATCAGATGTTTTGGGTTAACATTTCTTAAGTTCATTTCACGTATACACTTAGTAAAATTTAATTCCTTGAAGCTGCCCAATAGAATGGAAACAGATAGCATCCACCCACCATACAGTTTCTTTATGTTTCATTCCTGGCAGGAGAGAGAGGCAAGGACCCTGGCAGTTCTTCTTAGTAGTGTGGCTGGTTCTAGTGGAGGCTCTAAAGGATGGTTAAGTTCCCTTTGGCTTTCTAATGGGAAGAGTCTCTTGTCTTCCACTGGAGTACATGCTGAGTGCATGCTTTTTAAAAACCAGTGGACCACTGAATGCCATTCTATTTAGATATATCTGAGGAATTATGCTATTAGAAGTATCCTAATTCTGCTTCCTATGGCATTTTTCCCAACTGTGCCTCCAAATTATCTACAAAACCTTATCTCCCATCAGGTGTGGTACATACCTGTTATCCCAGCACCTCAGGCTGAAGTAGGAAGACTATAGCAGTTTCAGGGCCAGCCTGGACTACACAGTGAGACTTTGTCTCCCCATCCACACACACCAAAAAAAAAAAAAAAGCAGTTTTATTTACAACCACCTGGAATAACCTCTCCCCAAATCCTAATCTCAGAACCTCTATTCTTGTTCTCTTTAATATTTTTTTCTCCTTCCTAGGTTCATCTAATTTACGTCTTAATCCTCACCTACTTTGTACTTCCTGATACTCATTCTCAGATAGTTTCTGATGAGTATTGTTTGTTTGGGGGAATTATCATCAGTATTCTAGATTTTGGGAAGCCAAGGTTCAGGGGGCCTTATAGTAAGTTTTTCCTGGTCCTCACCAGCTTATGTTTCTAACCCAACATTTGACTTCTGATCTTGCACTCAGAATCCCATGTGGAAAGCACAAGGATAAGTGGAATCTCAAGAACAGCCTCCACTATATTAAGTTAACCTGTTGATTGCTCTGCTACCTCCCGCCTCTCTTGTCTGTTTCAAAGCCAAGAACAGCCAAGATCAGTGCAGTGGCATTTTTCCAGATGGCTCCTCTGCTGTCTTCTTTTCCCTCCCAGCTTTTCTTTTCTTCTATTTTTTTCTTTCCCAACTTCTGAGCACAAATTTTTTGTCTATCCTACAAATAGAGTACAGCCAGGCTACATCATCAACACCTATGGGGCTGGGGAGATGGCTCAGTAGAATATGTACTTGCCTGGCAAGTGCAAGGGCCCAAGTTCAATCCCCAGTTCCACCAAGAAAAAATAAAAAATAAAATAATAATATAATAATATATATATTGCCTATGATCACAGTAGTTATACTTTTATTATTTTTTTATGTATTTAGTATAGGATCTACAGGGTGTCACTACACAAATCAGACTCATAGTGATCCTCTATTTTCAGCCTGTCAAGCACTGGGATTACAGGCGTGCATCATCACACCCAGTCTCAGTCAGTCTCAGTGCGCCCTGGGGGCGGGGCCAGCACAGCATGCCAGGGATCAAACCCTAGTCCCTTTGCTATCTAGGGAGCCCTACATTAGTTTTATAAATTAGCATCTTGGTATATTTAGTCTTACTGTTAACATTTTAGGCTTGGTACAAAAGTCATTAAATCCACATCTCATTTTAATAATAACAAAAGTAAGACATTTTGTTTGTGCTTGTTTTTTTGTTTTTTTTTTTTTTTTTGCTTGCTGTACTATGAAGTCTTATGCATGGGAAGTTAGTGAAATAAGATCAGACTTTTCTTTCCTCTTGATATACTCTAGATATGTTTAGGTGGTTGTTGTAAGTATTAGGTGATTAACATTTTTCACATTATGTTCGTCTAAAGAGACTCATTATTTTATTTCCTAAAGAGGTCAGTGAAAAAAAAATGGTTGAGGAAGAAGAGCTTGTTACAGAAAAAAAGAAAGCTCTGAATGTTATGCAAAGTGTTTTGAACATCGACTTAAACAACGCTACAAGCAAAGGACCAGTAGCTGCTAAGCAATTTAAGTATGATTTATCTTCTATCCCATTCTACTATATTTTCCTTTGCCATATATACCTTCTTTGAGTGTGAAAGTAGGTCATTTATTTTATTCTTTTTTGTCATCCTGGAGATTGACCTCAGGGCTTTTCATAAGTGCTAGCCAAGCACTGCATCTTTGAGGTATAGCCTTATTTGTTTTGTTTTGTTCTGTTTTGTTTGTGGCCGGCTCAACCCATTTTGGGGGTAGGGCTTGTGTGGCATGTTGTGCTGGGGATCTAACCATGGTCCCTGCGCACTTGCCTAAGTTTGCGTAAGCAGGTGCTTTAGACCACTGGGCTATCTCACCAACCTAGCCTTCCTTTTCCTGGGTCATTTTTGACTTAGTAGGCAAAGCAGTTGGCATCATCTATTAGATTCTTTAAAATACTATTACCTTTCAAAAAATTAATCTTACATTATTCTTCTATTTACTTATATACATAGATATCATACTAGCAGTACTTCCATTAGTGAAACAACTGAAAAGCATTTAAATACTAACACCAGAAGTTACTACTATAAAAAATTTCAAACACATAATTTAGAGAGACTAGTGTAGTAAAACTTCAGTACACAACCTGAGATCACCCAACACAGTCAGGCATGGTGGCACACACCTGTAAGCCCAGTACTCGAGAGGCTGAGGCAGGAGGTGTGTAGTAAGTTCAAGACCAGCCTGGGCTACAAAGTGCAACTCCATCTCAAAAAAGTGAAAAGAGAAAGAAAAAAAAAAAAAAGATCACTAACGCATAACTACTTTTCCACTGCATCCTATATTATTTTATTTCTATGTATTTTTAGTATGCTTGGAATTATTTGTAAGGTTAACAGAGGATTGAGGAAAATGCAAAAGCTGATACTTTAAGATACTATTTCTAACTGGAGACTTATAGGTAAATGGACCCAATTTGAGACCATACTCATAAGTAAAAATAATCCAGAAAAAGCATCATATTATCCCCTTAGTATGAGAAGCTGAATGAGTAAATGTGACCCAAAATGTACAATAGTTACCATAAAATAGGAAGAAACTTCAAAAGGAAGGAGAAGCTGGGTTGTAGGAATGGAAGAAAGAAAAGGAAAAGCCAAATGTGAATAAAAGATATTTAAGATAGTTATATTATTAATTTCTCTTAGTTCATTGAAAAGAAAGGTTTGTGCTAATGTTGTTTGGACAATGAAATGGTGGTATCCTGTACTTGAAAGGTAACAATGGGCAACGTATTAATCATTGTTATCTTCCTATTATCTTGGCAGAAGGATTTGATTTTTTGGCTGCTCAGAATGCCTTCAGGGCAGGTGTGGCTGGCTTGAGTTCTGGGGATCGAACCACAGCAACCTGCGCCTACTGATTGTTTAAGCAGGCTCCTAAAGAACTGAGCTAAGGGGCAGCCCCCTATCCTCCTATTATCTTGCTTTGAAATTTTTTTTCTCTTTAAAATAAAGCTCTTTTAAGTGGCAAGAAAAAAAAATACTATTTCTAATAAGAGTATAACATTCTGATGTCATTTATCTTCATTTTCCCCCTCAAAATTTGCTGTTAAGTTTTGGTCTGTGGTTTTGATTTCTTTTCCACATTTATTTTTTTCTTTTTCACATCATAGGGACATCATACGTTATGATCCAACCAGGCATGACCACGTCACTTACGAAAGAACAAAAGATGACAGACCAAAAGAAAGGTAAATCAGGCTATCTTTTACCCTACAGTTCTGCTAAGCTGCTGAGAGACAGTCCCTTTAAGTCTCATAAAAGAAATTTTGTTTAAATAACTGAAGTTTATTAACACAGTCTACAACTTTTTTTTTTTTTTTTTTAGTTTGAATCCTGAGTTTGATTCCCATAACAAAACAAAAACAAAATCTTAAAGGGTTATGTTTCATTTATTTATTTATTTATTTTTGTAGTACCAGGGATTGAACTCAGGACCTCGTGCTTGCCAGGCAGGCACTTTTCTACTGAGCTATCTCCCCTGCCTGTTATGTTTTATTTATAACCAAGGTATATAGATTTTTTTTTCCATAATGGGCCAGATGGAAAATATTGCACGCTTTGCATGCCCGACAACCTCCATTCCCCTTCATAGCAGAAAAGCAGGATATGAGAACAGTATGTTCTAATAGTTCGTCAGTACATGCCGAAATTTGCCATTTTCACATTTCATGAAATCATCTTTATTTTCCCCCATCTCATACTATAAAAAAAATAATAATACTTGATATGCAGTTAAGACAGACAGCGTAAAAAAAAAACAAAAAAAAACAACAAGACAGCATCATGGACTTGGCTCATGGGCCACAGTTTGCTAGCTCCTGCTTTAGGTTATGTTTTTCCTGAGAGGGTCATAGAGTCAATCTTTGCTTAAAAGTCATTTTTTAAATTACATAGCATTTGCCTTCTGGAGGATTAGGAATCTTCAAAACCATGAGGTTCTGGCTGCTTTAGTTTCTTTCTTTAATTACAGTTTCCTTCTTTCATTTTATTATAAGCAGTAAAAAGTAAACAGGCAAATATTTTCTACATTTTCCTGGATATCTACTTAGCTAGACCACCCAGATAATTAGCCCACTAATACAAGTACTAGTGTTCATCATCTTTCTGCCACCACATGACACAGATCACCTTTCTCCCAATTTCCAGTCATGCTAACCTGCATTCTCCCAAAGTTCATGTAGTTTCTACTGACAGTTTCAAGACCTGTTAAGTTTTTGCTATGCCCTTAGTCTCAGTTACATGCTATCACATCTACCTAGCCTCTTCATTAAAATAATTTACTATTCCACCCCACACTCAAGGAATGAGCGAGTTAACTTGCACCTCTTCAAGGTTGTCAGGAGTTTCTGAATGACCTGGAACTGCTTTTTGAACATGACTTTTTAATCCAGCTCAGCTTCATAGGAGGCACATCTCATCTCTCTTAAAAACTAGCCAGTTTTATTTTATAAAATACGAAGTTTCTTTCTTCGAAGTGGTCTGTAGGTTATGTAAGACATTTCATTTATTTACATTGTAGGTAATTCATTAACTTCTTGCCTATCATAGAAGGGATACTAGTAAGAAGAAGGATTTTAATTTGTGTGCATGTGTGTGTGGCAATGGGCACTGAACCTCGGAACCACTGTGCCACTGAGCTATATCCCCAGCCATTTTTCTTTCTTTTTTTTTTTTTTTTTTTTTTTTTTTTTTAGGGAAGTGTGTTCAGGGTCTCACTACTAGATCAGACTCGTAGTGATTGTCCTGTTTACAGCCTCCCAAAAGCTGGGCTTACAAGTGCTCGATCCCACGCCCACTCTCAGTTGCCATCTCAGTGCACCCCGGGGGCGGGGCCTGGGGATGGAACCCCCTGCCTCTGTGCCTGCTTGCAGGCACTTTAATCCGCTGAGTTATTTGGCTGACCCTTTTTTTCTTTTGAGCCAAGGTCTCACAACATTTTTTTCTCTGAGGTCAAAAAGAAAGCATATTCATTCCTAAATATAGAGAAGAATTATAACAACATAAAAATTTCATTCTGAAAGAAGCTAGATGTAGCACACTTTCAGTTTGTTTCTAAAACTGAGTAATCAGTAGAATAAGCTCAAGGGCCTGAGTTTAATCCCTGGTTCGGCAAAAAAAAAAAAGTAAAAATAAAACCAAGTAGTTTATTTCCATCACTTTTCTAAAACTCACACTTTTAACACTTAAAATGATCTTGGAGGTCATGTTGATTTTGCAGATGAGGAAGTTTCATAGTTGCAATGTAATTTCTTGTTTTTTATTTTTTTGGTGGAACTGGGGATTGAACTTTATTTATTTGTTTGTTTGTTTGTTTATTTATTTATTTGGATAGGGTTTTGCTGTGTAGTTCAGGCTAGACTTGAAGTCACTGTGTAGTCCAGGCTTGCCTTAAACTCACAGGGAATCCTCCTACCTCAGGCTCCTGAGGACTGGGTTTACAGGCATGCATCACCAAGTTCAGCTCAGTGTAATTTCTGAAGTGTAGTTTAGAAAGTAAGAGATAGAAGAATGTGCTTTGTATTTAGTATTTGGATGTTTGCAGTAGTTTTATGTTTTTAAAAAAGTATTGGTCAGGATTATGTGTGGATATTCTTAGTTGAAAGGATGAAAGTCAAGTTATCCAAGGAATTTACCTTTCTTGAATTTTAGAAATTCCCAAAACTTGTTTTAGTGTGATGTACCTGTCTATGTATGTCATTCCAGCAAAGCAAAAAGGAAGAAAAAAAGGGAGGAAGCTGAGAAACTACCTGAAGTGTCTAAAGATACATATTATGATATCGCTATGGACTTGAAAGAAATATTCCAAGCTACAAAAGATACCAGTGAGAAGGAAGAGGATGCATCCCAGCACAAGGCCTGTGGTGGAGAGGAGGTGGAAGAAGTCCATAGTGCCACAGCCCTGATGAGTGAAGCTGAGCAGCCCAGCGGGTTTATGTTCTCTTTTTTTGATTCAGACTCTAAAGATATAAAAGAAGGTACTTTTCTCTTTCTCCCATTCATTGAAATGAATACCATTCATTTCAAGCTGATTATGTTTAATTGATGAAGTCTCCATTAAGTAAAATGGATTGACATTGTCTGAATAAAGGATGCTGTCTTTGACCTAGATGCATAATAGGTGATTCAATGTTGCATGATTGTAAATGTCATGTTCTTAAAGTTGAAAGAGGGGCTGAGGCAGGAAGATCATTGTGAGTTCAATACCAGCCTGTGGTACTAAGTAAGCTCAAGGCCCACCTCAACTGTATAGCAAGACCCTGTCTCAAAAAAGGGGGAAAAAAAGGTAAAAGAAATGAGTTTTTGGTTGGGGAGATAGCTCAGTGGTCTAAACGCCTGCTTGGCAAGTGCAAGGACCTGGGTTCGATCCCTGCTACCGCATGCCATGCCGGCCTCGGAATCCCTGGTGTGCCATGCTGGCTACCCATATCTGGCATGGTGGTGCATACCTGTAATCCCAGCAGTAGGGAGGCTGCGATAGGAGGATCACTGTGAGTCTGAGCTGTGTATTGAGACCCTAGATCAAATAAATTAAATAAGTAAATGATTTAAAAAAAAAGAGTTTTGTGTGAAGGGGGACAAATTCCTGGCTGGCTTCATATAAAGGGAAGCCAAAGAGTAATTTACTGTATTCCTTCTTATATAAAAACTATCATGAAGAAGTAAAATAAATTATTTGAATCACTCCGTTTCTTCAGTACAGTTGGAGATGCCATGAATTAAAGAAACCTAGTGCTGTAAATGATAGGAGAAAGGAAGTAGAAAACCTTTGTAGGCCAACCCAGGGCACATGTGAAAATACCTGTTCTTTAGGAGGCTACTTCATAAAGGTGTTAAGATATATGTGCAGCCTTCTGGAAGTTCATCATAAAAGGCCAAATAAGGGCTGGCCAGAAAAATCAGCGAACTAAAAGCGCAGAGGCCCGGGTTCCATAGCCAGCAAACCTTGCTGTGCCGATCCCACCCCGAGGGCGCACTGAGATGGGGATTTAGACTGGGCGTGGTGGTGCAAGTCTATAATCCCAGCACTTGGGAGGCTGAAAACAGAAGAATCACTACAAGTCCAGTCTATGTAGTGAGACCCTAGAGACCCTGTACCAAATACGTAAAAAGTAAAAAACAAAATAAATAAAAAGCGGGATAAACCTGGCATTGTGGCACATACCCCAGGATGAGGGGCACTGAGGAAGGAGGACTGCAAGGTTGAGCCCAGCCTGTGCAACTTAGCAAGACCCTATAACAAAATATAAAATAAAATAAAAAACACGGCTGGGAATGGCATTACAAGGGCCTGGGCTCAGTTCCTACTACCACACAAAACAAAAGTAAACAAAACAGGGTAGATAGACCTATCCACCAAAATGCATGCACAAGTATAGTGATTCTATTTGGAAGCTCAACCCTTAAAGTATTACATATTCATATAGCAGATAAATATCAGTTGTCTGCTCTGATACTCCAAAAGGAAGTCCTACAGTATGACAGTTTTGTCTTATGCTGTGCATATTTTACGTTCTTGTCAGTTGAATGCAATTAATGGGCATAGAGAGCCAAATGTAAGAAATGGGCCTTAACGTCATTGTAAGTCACTACAGATTTTTATAAGTAGCTGAAAAGTTTTGAAGACTTAGGAGATAACTCTTCAGGTCTCAAAGCAGTAGCTTTTTCAATGGTTCTGGAAAGAGATGTTGGGAATTAAAAGTGTAAAGATACATATACCTTTTCTCACTTATAAATAAGTGGGATAGAAATCTGGTTTTACTAAATCATGTTGTCTTTCATTTAGGCTTCTCTTGCTAGCACAGGTGCCATGGCTGTTTTGTTCTTTTTAAAAATTATATTTCTCTTTTGTAAACCTTTATTTTTATGGCTGTTTATAATGCTTTTCCTTATTTGATCCCTCTTAGCAATGTCAAAATGAAGACTGTAGCTTTTTTCAATATTTGAAAATTGAGTAAGATGACATTTCTTTTAAGGGATGAGGATATAGCTTAATGGTACTTGCCTAGAATGCACAAGATCTCTAGCCCTACAAAAGTAAATGGAAGAAAGAATAATATACTTCCTGTTTTTTAATTAATGATTAACATATTGGAAATTTAAACATTTGTGTGTGGTGAAGGTAAACAATTGAATGTGTTTAGAAGTACTAGATTGCCTTTTTACAATCTATTTGTTTATTGTCAAAATTATATAGAAACCTATAAAGTTGAAATGGTGAAACCCAGAAAGATTATCTGGCAAGAAGATCCTCAGTTCCAGGACAGCAGTTCAGAAGATGATGATGATGTTACTGAAGACACAGATCACAGAAAGCCCATCCCTGAGTAAGGGATTTATTGTGTGGGGGTTTAGATCATAATTTTTTAAATCAGAATTTTTACAAGTTTACAAGTATTTGGAGATTACTTAGATTAATATTCTTTTTTTTTTTTTTTTTTTTTTTTGTGGAACTGGGGATTGAACTCAGGCCCTTGCGCTTGCCAGGGAGGCGCTTATTCTGCTGAGCCATCTCCACAGCCTCTAGATTAATATTCTTGAGACAATTTAATTTTCTCAGTGGGGTTAGAGGTTTCTTCAACCTTTTTTTTTAATATTGGGAAGGTGTTATCTTTTCCTAGAGATTTGGATAACATTGAGAACATTGGGTGGGAGACAAGATTGCTGGGGGAGTGGCCCCAATGGTCTCAAAACAGGAGGCTGGGCGCCAACTGTGGGAAACACTGACATACAGGGTAGCAGTGGTAGCAATGGTAAGAGTGAGACTATTACCATCCAAAATCAGGATTATGGAACGTGGATCTAAACAAAGCCTTATCAAAGCATCGGATTGATAGAAAAATGTTGGAAGCCCAAAGAAGTTAATTTTCTGTAATAGTTAATGTTTTCAATGTAAATAGTTCTTAAATATTCAAAGTTAACCAGTGGGCTGGGGATGTGGCTCTGTCATGGGTTTGATCCGCAAAAAAAAAAAATCTGAAAAAATTTTATCTAACAGTTAACCAATATCTGTCTTTTGCTCCCTCTTCTTTGCAGAGAAACATCATTTATTGAAGAAGAGACCACTAGATTTTTCTTTTTCTCTAAGAATGATGAACGACTTCATGGTAAGCCCATTTTTGCATAGAGTGGTACAGAACAGATGATAGCACTGCTCATTGCACACCCAGCTACGGTGACTCACATTGAAATTCTGATCCTGTGCAGTGTCATATGTTGACTTGTAACACTATTTGGGGGGACTGAGAGCTTCTCACTCAAGTTGTTTCTTGCTTACTAATTATCATGAACATGGACCTGCTTAGATGCTAAACATAATTTCCTGAAAATCCACATGAAAACTTCCAGGCTAATGGTGAAATCGCTTTACTTTTTCATTGATGTTTTCCATTTTGTGGTACTGGGAATTGAATCAATGGGTATGTATCACTGAGCTTTATCCTCAACCCTTTCATTTGAGACAGAGTCTCTATTGGTCACTATGTTGCCAAGGCTGGGCTTGAATTTGTAATCCTCCTGTCTCAGCACCCTAAAGTTCTAGAATTACAGGCATGTGACACCATGCCCAGTTTTTATTTTTTGTGACAGGGCTTCCCTAAATTGTCAGACTGGCCTCTCACTTATTTTTTGTTTTGGTTTGGTTTAGTTTTTTGGCCTCAAACTGGTAATCCTCTTGCTTCAGCCTCTTAAGTAGCTAGGATTAATCAGGCACCACCTCTTTCTTTTTCTTGTTTTTGTTTTTGTTTTTTTGGTACATAGTCTTGCTATGTGGATCAGACTGGCCTTGAATTTACTATGTAGCCCAGACTAGCCTTCAACTCATGGCACTCCTGCTTCATCCTCTTGAGGGCTAGATTATAGGTATATGCCACCATGCCCAGCTTGCTTCTTTTCCTTCTTAAAGCATTATAAAAATGAAAACAAGGTTGTATAACAATAAATCATTTATAAACAGTAAAATTCTAGCAGTCTATTTTTTATTGTTTTTCAGTGAAATACTCAATTTTGAAAAGTTTGTGTAAATTTTAAAAAGTGATCCTAACTGGCATTGGAGACCTTCTAATACCAACATCAGGATGTTATCCATTTTGATAATAGTATGCTGCCTCACATTTCTTGTTCTCCCCTCATAGGTTCTGACCTATTCTGGAGTGGTGTGGGAAGTAATATTAGCAGGAGTGCTTGGGAGGCACAAACAAAGAGCTTGCTTATGGTGAGTATTGCTCCTCCATATTAATCATCTCCAAAAATAGGTAAGATTTTATCTTTGTGTTACTGTTGCTTGGTGTAAAAGTAACTGGAATATGATATGAAAATTTATAAAGGATGACAGTCAAGAATATAATTTAAATGTTCCAAATTATGGTACAGCATGAAATGTAAAGCAACCCACAGCCAGTACTGGCAAGGAAACTGAAGACTCATTTGAGTAGTTGGTCCTAGAGTCCAGCAAGGCTAATTAAATTACAGAAAAATCAGGAGACCTTTAAAGACTAAATTATAGTATCCTGAACACTTAAAGCTGAAAGTTTGCATATTCCCTGAGTGTTCATTCTAATGAGCACTTCTAAAATGAGTTTCCACTGCTCTGACAAAGATAGTAATCATGTTACCTTAGAACTATTGAACACCTTGAAAATAATTTGTATTTATTGTTAATAAAATGTTTTGATTTTACAGGATTGTCGAAAGAAACATAAAGAAGCAAGAAGGAAAGTTAAACAAAAATAATAAATATTGTTTTATTTATTTGTTTGTTTTGTCTTTTTGAGTTGTCTCAACTATGCAGTTCAGGCTGGCCTTGAACTCAGTTTGTAGCCCAGGCTGGCCTCAAACTTGTAGCAATCTTCCTGCCTCAGCCTCCTAAGTGCTGGTGTTACAGATGTGTGCACCACCACACCTAGCTTCACCGTTGTTTTTAAGCTCAGGGTGAACAAGACTAACCAGGATATTGACCTAAAATTCTTTTTCGCTGACAGGACATTTTATAGCAGATAATATTGAAAATCTAGCTGATTATCATTCTAGTTGTCATGTTTTTCTGTGAAATTCCTTTATATTTTGTCCTGGGTAATTCAAAACATTAAGCTGAGCCTGGCAATTTGATACACATCTCTGGTCTTAGCATTCAAGACACTGATACGGACAGATCACTAGAAGTCTGAGACCAGTCTGCACAATATAATGAGACCTTGTGTTGGGGGGAAAAAAACTGAACTCTTAAAAACATGAAGTCCAACATAGCCCCTACTTTGTGTACATAATTTCTTTGTCTCTTGTCTTTAATAAGTAATGGATATATTCTGATGCAAATTTTGTACAAAGCCTTCTCCAATAACTAGTTCAGTATTTTCCAAATTAGGCTTTGTGTGAATTGGAATATTTCTGATTGTACCTTACCTCCATGTTATGCTTTTTGTTTAAAAGGATGAATTGCAAGACAGCTTTGAATTCAGTGCTTGTGTCCTGATGAAGAGCTAACTTAAATGTAGGGTATTTCAGACCAGTGTCGTGTAAGAGTTCTCCAAGGACTAGGAAAGAGTTCTCAGCATTTGGAAAGCCAAATACAGAGTATTCCTGCTTATGGCTTCAGGGAGAACCAGGTTATCAATTCTAAAATTCCTGTCAGATGAGAAGCTTTTGAAAAAATACTAAATTTCTGAAAAAGATGTGGTCCGTAGTTAGGAGTTAGACCCCAAGATCAGATAGGGAATCACATTTAATGCTTCACTAAACACACCTAAGACTGAAGACTGATATGCCTCTTATCAAATCAGCTCTATGAAGCACATGTAACACAGGTTGTTCAAAGGAGTTACAAAGCTATAATGTATGCATCTGAAATTGTCTTAGAATACATTGATTTACATCTTGTTTAACTACAACTATAAGGCCTCCTATCACATCTGGCTTATTAACCTCTGTGTCCCCATTGCCAAGATCTATGTCTGGTACATAGTAGATAATAATACATGTGTTTTAATAGATAAGTACCAGGAACTTAGTTTAAAAAATCATTCTCAGTTCAAGTGTCTGTGACTTCAGACCTCAGAGAATGGAAATACCCACTCAGTTGGATAAACACTTCAGTAACTTCAGTGCTTTCCACCTCTTGATATTAATTATGTTTATACTTACCTGATGCTTCACAACAAATATGTGATTTGGTCAGACTTACTGAGAACTGTTTATCTCTGTTTCATGTGCTGTCATTGCAGTGGCTCAGTTGGGACAAAAAGGATCAACTACTCAGATGCTCTGTACACCATTTCCCCTGCCCTATCCTTGGGCTTCATTAATGCCTGCCAACTACAACCCAAGAATAAGAAACAGGGCTGGCCAGTGTTATAAAGTGCAAGCCTATGCACTAGCTCAGGCGTTTTACCACTTTACAGTTCATGATATAGCCCTCTTAGTGGGAAGTGTGTTAAAGTTTGGTCACATTTAAGTCTTACTGTTTCATCTCCAAAGCGGACAAGTGACATGAAGTGGTCTTGCCTATCCCCCAATTTCTAATTCCCAGTTTAAACCATTTTTATTCTGATAGTCATCTCCATTTTTAAAAAAATTAATCTCCATTTTCTGTTCCTGTCCTGCTTATACTATGACTTCCTGGTTTTTCATTTCCAGACATTGAACTCTTAATATATTTTGACCATTGTTCTTCCTAGAATTACTTTTTTTAATAGTTCTAGACATAATCTTCACCTGTCTTCCAACAATACTTGACAATGTCTCGCAATCTAGTTTTTAAATAATCAGACCAGAGCTGGTTGTACTATAGTGGTAGCAGCTTTGGCCAAGTCATAAAGCCAGATGACTATGGACTTAATAAAACTTGAACAAAAAGTAAGCTAAAATAAGCCTTTCCTCCTCTAACTGGTATTTTGTCCTAGGAAAGAGAAAATAACTATGACATAAACTAAAGCATTTGGCATGATGACACACACCAGTATTCCCAGCTACTCCAGAGGCTGAAGTGGAAGAATCACTTAGGCCTATGAGTTCCATATCAGCCTCAGCAGTTTAGCAAGACTACCCCACAAGACCCCTGTGGCCGCCAAGCTACAACTGCTAAATACTTGTTCCACTGAGTAAAGTAACCTCTTGGAAGACATGAAACCACTTCTGGACCTTCAGGAGGACCTATATCTTAGTAATTTGTTTGTTTGCTTTGGCAGAACCGGGGATTGAACTCAGGCCCTTGCCTTTGCCAGGGAAGCACTTATTCTACTGAGCCATCTCCCCAACTCCATTTTAGTAATTTGAATAAATGCTAAAATGAGTCAAAATGTTTAATTTAGGAAGTACTTTCTACCTACTATTAAATTCAATTTTTCCTGTGTCTAATGGATAAAATAGGCAATTACCTATAAAACTACTTAGCAGCTGGCCAAATAGCTCAGTGGATTAAAGCACCTGCAAGCAGGTGTAGGGGCCAGGGATTGGGGCCTGCCATTCCAGCCTCACCCCCGGGGCGCCATGAGAGGGTGATTGAGACTGGGCATAGTGGTGCTCACGGGTAATCCCAGCTATTGGGAGGCTGTGAACAGGCAAATCACTACGAGTCCAATTTAGTAGTGAGACCCTGAACACCCTGTCGACCCCTAACCCACACACACACACACACACACACACACACACACACACACTACTCTCAAGGTATTAAAAGCCAAAAGTTTCTCGATAGCTTGGGTGCCAAACTCCAGTTCCCTTTTGATTTTAAGCAGCATATCTGGAAGGTGATCAGCAGATACATAGCAGTGTAACAAAGAAACATTTGTTTTAATTACAGGAAATTAATGTGTAATAACTAAAAACATTGTTAGGCCACACATGCCCCACCCTATAAATATGTCTCTGCTCCAAAGATTCGGTGAAGGATATGATTTTTAAACGTGATTTACACGTGAAACAAGTCTACAATGTCCAAGTGGAGGCACACTGACAAGCAAAATAAGATGAAGACCCCTTCCCAGCCTCCCAGAGGTTCTGGGATTTCAAGCGCGAGCGAGGGGAGCTGCAGGACCTACCGCTGGAGGTCGCTCTTAGGTCACAGCCTGACAGCACAAGTCAGTTTATACCTCGGCGGCGCTGCGTTCCCCGTGTGCACCGCGGTTTGGCATGGGGGGGTGATGGGTGTGGCCAGGAATCATGCGGCCAATCGCCATCCAGATTGTTTGTAGGTGTTACACCGCGCCTCCTGGTTCGCCGGCGCGGAGGCGGCCCCTTGCTCTGTGCCCTGTGCGCCTGGGCGTTGCATCAGTTCAGGGCGCCGCGCCGCACTGCTGATCCGTGTTCTTTCTTAGTCTTGCGCGACCTCCCCGCTCCAGGTAAACTGGGCTCTCCTGCACGCCTCTCCCTTGCGCCCAGACCTGCTTTTGGGCTGCTCCTTTATTTCGAACCTCCCTGAGTCACACTGTAGTGACAACCCTCAAACAATAGATCGAAATTTTAAAAGAAAAAGACCATATGTCTTCATGAGTAATTTGCACGTGTATTTCTCTCCATGAGGAGGATTGGAGTAAGCCTGAAGGGGCGCCGGAGAACTCAGAACAGGCAAGAATCCTGGCCTAACTTCTTGTGCCAGAGTCTACGGTCCGGGAAAGTTCCTCAGCTGCACGCTGGAGCCGCGTTGGCTCTTGAAGGCGGTAGTTCTTAATTCAGGGTTATAGAGCTCCTTGGGGAAGGAGGACAAATGAAGGCATGGTTCCGAGTCCCAGGCTCCCCCTACCTTTCCATAATTCCTGTAAATGTGCGTTTTACTGCTAGCAATTTGGGGCCCAAGTTGGATATGCCCAGCAACCCTGTCCTGGACTCACTCTGATAAATGGAGATGCCAAATGCAGGCCTTGCTGGGAGCAGAGGAAAAGGACAGTTACTTACATGGGTAATGGATGTTGGAGGAGAAACCTTATCAGAAACTGCCTTTAGGCTTAATCCTTGAAGATGGGCAAGGAGACTATACGTAGTTCTCTTGTTTCCAGCTTAGGCTGCGGGTGAGGAATGGGTGTGAAGTGGCTCTTCGTTTCCAGCTTTGTGTATACACTGTTGCTTTTTAAAGTGAGGCAGTGAAATGAATAAGTCTTTTAAAAATTTTAGGGCCGGGGAGATAGCTCAGTAGAATAAGCGCTTGCCAGGCAAGCTCAAGGTGTTGAGTTCAATCCCTGATACCGCAAAAAAAAAAAAAAAAAAACTATGTATGGTATAAATTGGTATATCTAAAATTTGTTCATAAGCATTACATATAGGTAATATATGCATACAGGTTATATATAGATTTTATACATTTATGTGAGCAGTCTAGAGTATATGTTAATAGAGTATAATTAAATTGAAAGAAACCTTGAGGTGAACCCACCATGGAGTTAAATTTGACTGGTAATAGGGAATAAAGTCTTGGGAATGAAGAGAAACAGGTAGGATCTAAGTCTTGATGATTAACTGAATATGAGAATCATTCCAGTACTATTATGGGTGACTCAGAAAGGTCATATCTTAGTAATGGGAAAGATGAGACCAGCAGAATTCAAGAAAAAAAAATCTTTGTGGTAAGTAAAATCCTAAGGTTTTATTTATTTATTTATTTATTTTTTTTAGAACAATAAACACTTTTATTACATGAGTTAAACCAGGAGGGAAGGTTTATTTGCCTTTCCGGGCCTTGATTTTCCTCAGATAGAACTCCAGCTCTTTGCCCTCCAGCACGCAGCCGTCTGCTCGGCCACACTGGCCTGGTCTCGATGCGATGCAGGCAGGAAGCTTGCCCTGCTGGAACTGCTCTTCCAGAAGACTGCTGATCTTGGCGTTCTTTTTCCTTTCATCATACTTCTTTTGAATTTTCTTTGATGGTTTTTGTTTAAAATCTCCTCCTCCTCAGGAGTCAGCTTGGCCCCCTTATTTTGGCCCAGAGGCAGTGCACAGTGGGATGTCGGTATGGCATGCTGTCAGTGAGCACAATGCAGTTCTTCACCGAGGGCTTGGTGCAGACCAGCTCGTTATTGGACGCATTGTAAACAACATCAACGATCCTTGTTTTTCAAGTACAACACTCAGAGCCCCAGGAGAAGTTTCCCACATCTAGCCGCAGGGCTCGGTACATCTTGTTGCCTCCTCGAACTCAGACTGTGTGTATGCAGCAGGTGCCAATCTTAGTGTTGGCAGCAGAGCGCCCCAACTCATACTTCCGCTTCTTGTGATAAGGCTTTCTTTTGCCCCCGGTCTTGCGGCGCTTGTGCCAGTTGTCCCAAGTGATGCCCATTGCTCGGCACTGGCTGGAAAGAACAAAATCCTAAGGTTTAAAACAAGATGTTTTAGTGTGCTTTTCCAGGATGTATTGAGGTTAGCATGTGACGGCCAAGGAGCATAGTTGAGAAATGGGTGAACAGGATATGGAGGCTAACATGGCCAGAAGGACTTGTGGAATGGGGAGTACTGGGGTGTCTGAGAGGAAGAAAGATGAGTGGGTAGCACACTTGGGCAAACCTGGCAAAGTTAACCTGCCCTTCCCCTGCCCTGTGGTTGCTGGAGGCTGTTGTTCAGGTACAGCACTCCAGTGGGTACAATGGGCCAAAGCAATCCTGTGATTTATGCATGGCATCTGTGTTTCCTCAGCAGCTGCCATAGCCCGGTCACTGGTACATGGGTTTCTTCCTGAAACAGTAATGTTGCACTGGGTCTTTGTGTTCGTTGTAGTAGTCCTGTATGTACAGTACTGTGACTCTCAAAAGAGAGAAAACATTCAGACAGCAATCCTTAAGTAACTGTCAGAACAGTGTGAGAGTGGGCATCCATCCATCCATGCCTGAGGGATTCTGTTAAGATGTAGATTGTGGGTCTATGTCTAAGTTGGGGCTGGGGAGTCAGTATTTCTAGTAAGTGCCCATGGATTATCAAGGGCCATCATAGGAATAATGTAATAGAAATGAATGTGTTGATATCTAAGCCTGTGGCCTGGGGAGGTAGCTCAGTAGAATAAGCACTTGCCTTGCAAGTGCACAGGATCCTGAGTTCAATCCCTGGTACCTCAAAAATATAAATAAATAGTATATTAGTGGACACAGTTTCTGTTGTTCTCTGATTAATAGCCATTGAACTAAGTAGGACTCCTAATCAGTAAATACAGAGATTAACATTTCTGTCCTCAAAAGGCTAGAGTTTGAAATTTGAAGATCTAAACAGCCTTACAACTCCCATTTAATCTTATTTAGTAATATACTCTGATTGGAAATTGCTCTTTGTGTTCAGTGTCGCACCTTTTCTTAGTTTTTCTATATAAAATTCAGAGACACTCATATCTGAAAAATAAGAATGAAAACAGGAAAGATACTATGATACTTGTCACAAACATTTTATAGCCCGAGTCATTTGCTATGCTTAGACTTTCAGACCGGATTGAATTAGGTAGGGGTCATCCTCCTCTTGTTCTCAAATAATTAGCAATTGTGTTTTTCCTTCTGATCTGACATTGGCTTGGCGATCTGGTTAGTAAAATTATTAGAATTTTAAGCTGGGCAGACTGGTGAGAGCTGGTAATCCAATGCTCAGGAGGTGAGGTAGGAGGATCACCCTTAATTTGAGACCAGCCTGGGCTACATAGTGTATCAGGGAGATGCAAATGAAAACCACAATTAGAGACTCCATTATGCCCTCTACAATGGCCAGGAGCCAATGGTGGACAGAAAGAAGTATTAGGGATGACTGTGATAAGTTGGCATTTTTGCTTACTGCTGGGGTGTAAAATAGTGTGGATACTATGTTTTTTCACTTTTTGGTTTGCAGTCCTGGCAGTCAAACCCAGGCCTAGTGCATACAAGGCAGGTGCTATACTACAGAGCTGTATCCCCTGCCTGGTGCAGTTACTTTGGAAAACATTTTGACAGTTTCTGAGAAAGTTAAAATAGAAAATTAATACATACCCAGAAAGTTTACACCTGAGTATATACCCAAGAGAAGTGAAAACACATCCACATTAAAACTTGTACTTCAATGTTCATAGCAACATGATTCACAACAGCAATTAAGCTAAAACAGTCCAGTGTCTGCACTGATAAAATGTGGCGTATCCATACAGTGGAATATTATTCAACCATTAAAAAATAGCAAAGTGAGTACATGTTACGTGAATACATCTTGCGAACATATTAAGGAAATTAAACTAGACATGATAACCCTCTCACAAGTGGTTCGTGCCGAAGTTTCCATTTATATGAAATGTCCATAATAGTTTAGAAAATGGATTAATGATTGTCAGGGCTGAAAGAAGACAGAATGATGATTATTACAAATGAGGGTTGAAAATGTTCTGGGATTAAATAGTGATCATAGTTACACAAACTCGTGAATATAAAGGACTGAATTGTATGCTTTAAAAGTGTGCTCTTTGGCCGGGCATGGTGGCACATACCTGTAATCCCAGCATTTAGGAAGCTCAGGCCAGAGGATCTCTGGGAATTCAAGGCCAGCCTGAACTACATGGCAGAACCCTGTCTCAAAACAACAAAAAAAAAAAATGTGCAATCTATGGTATGTGAACTCTTATCTCAATAAGCGTAATTTTAATGAAGTTTGTGTAGTATAGTGATGTGCACACACCTGTTTTAATCATAGAAATCCTTTTTTTTTTTTTTTTTGCGGAACCGCTGATTGAACTCAGACCCTTGCACTTGCCAGGCAAGCGCTTATTCTACTGAGCCATCTTCCCGGCCCCTCATAGAAATCTGCTATTACAAGATGTCTCTTTTGTAGATAATAATTTTAATCTCTTTTACAGCAACAGAATGGTTCAGCAAGTGCCAGAAAATATCGATTTTCCTGCTGAAGAAGAAAAGATATTGCAGTTCTGGTCTGAATTTAATTGTTTTCAGGAATGCTTAAAACAGTCAAAACATAGACCAAAGTATGTAATTTTTTTTTTTAAGTAGTATCCTTAAGAGTATTTCTTAGACCAAATTCCACTAAAGCAGAAACTACTTATTCGTCTTTTCATTCCCATTCTCCCAGCTCTCTCCAAAGTGGGTCCTCCATAGTAGACAAATGTTGAATGAATGAGTTCTCTTTGATTTTAGATTCAGTCTGAGAGATCCTCTGACTGGAGAGTATGTTGCACCTGCTCCTCTGACCTTTCTCATCGTCCCCACCTAAGTGCAAGCCCCCCATTGAAGGCTACAGCAGTACTTCCTGACCCTCATCTCCAGTCACCTGAAAGACCACTGCTCCAGTTATATGTCTTCTGTGTGCACAGACTTTGCCTATGGCCCTCTTTTCCTGAAGGTCAGGATTACTAATTTGCCATAATGGCAAATTTGTCATGGCAATAGTAAATTAAAATTTGATAATCAAATGGCAGTCTCCATTAACTTGCCTTAACTAATTTCCCATTAATTTGCCTTAATGGGAAATTTGTCATAGGAATAGTAAATGAAACAGTTGATAACCAAATGGCAGTCCCCAAGCTCTGTGGTAACTGGTAGTAGTAGCCTTTCTGAAGGCAAGATCTTCATAAATACTAATTAGTGATGCCTAAATGTTGTAGTTTTGCTACTTCTTTCTTCTTAAATACTGTGACAGGAGGGGCCCCAGGGAGATGGCTCAGTGGAATAAGCGCTTCCCTGGCAAGTGCAAGGGCCTGAGTTCAATCCCCGGTTCCACCAAAAAAAAAAAAACCGAAAAAAAAAAAAATACTGTGACAGGAGCTACTCAAAGAAAAATGTCCTGAGTTTTTTTGTTTCAAAATGACTAGCATTTTTTTACCTCTATTAGATTTACCTTCTATGATGGTCCTCCTTTTGCAACTGGCCTGCCTCACTATGGACATATACTTGCGGGGACAATTAAAGACATAGTTACAAGATACGCTCACCAGAGTGGGTTTCATGTTGATAGAAGATTTGGATGGGATTGTCATGGTTTGCCTGTGGTAAGTTTGAGTCTTAATCCTTATAATGTTCTGATTTTTATAAGCATTATATTTTATCCTATCATGTTAAAGATGATTCATTTTTAATTATATATTACACTTTTCATTTTGAAAAGTTTATTTTACTTCAAAAATAAATAAAGCTTACACTTTATTTTACTTCATTTCCATAACAATTCATTTGCTTTGTAGAAATTCTGAAAAACTATAATTTTTCTTGAAGGCTATTTTATTTTTCAGTTTTAGTTGTATTTGTTTCGTAAGATGGGTATCTTAATAATTTTAACACAATTTTTCAGGAATATGAAATTGATAAGACATTGGGCATCAGAGGGCCAGACGACGTGGCCAAAATGGGGATTGCAGAGTATAACAATCAGTGCCGCTCAATTGTAATGAGATACTCTTCTGAGTGGAAAGTAAGTTTGATTCTTTTCATTAGAAAATTTAATTTTTGGTTTTTGTCTTTTTTGAGACAGGGTCTCACTATGCAGTTCAGACTGGCCTTAAACTCACTGTGTAGCCCAGGCTGACCTTGAACACCCAGTGATCCTCCTGCCTCAGCCTCCTGAATGCTGAGATTGCAGGCATGTGCCACGATGCCCCGCAGAAAGCTTAATTTTTAAAGACGTACTGAGATGCTTCATGGTCCTTTGAGCTTTTCTCAAGGTGTTCCTAAGCATAGTGTGCTGTCTGTGTGAGGTGAAGCCAGTTGAATGTACCCTCCTCTTTACACTGTGTATACCAAGAAGGACTCCTCAGCTTTTACCTGCAAACCTATTACAGTAAACTGAACCCATTTTTCCGTACTTAAAGTGAGTACCCAGAGTATATTATAGGAATCAGTGTTGTAGCAATCAGACTTGTTTGAGTGCTCCAGTGCACTAATTCAGTTATTTTTAAAACTTTCCAATTTGGACCAATTCTTGTGCTATTAATTTGCCTCCTGTGTTGCCCACTGGAGTAGAACAATATGGAAGTGCTACTGTGCTCCTGCCCTCTTATTTTTTCCAGGTGTCAAAACAAAGCTCCCTCTTTGCTGCTTGCCTCTCAGATGAGATTACCATGTCCATATGACAGCCAGGCACTGTGTCTGGCTTTTCCCCCCATGCTATCCATCTTCCCCTCAACCTCTCAAAGTGGGTTCAGAATTAATTCCCTGTTCTGCCGGTTTCTTCCAGCTCCTAAAACCTTAATTTCCATGAACCCATCAGTCATCCAGTCCTGCTAAGACCCTCAGCTTAGTATATGGTCACTTCTCAACCCTTCCGTAACCTCTCCCCCACCTCCATCTGTTGTATAACAGTTCACTAATCACTTTCCTTTTCATGATCTTTCCACCCAGGCTGCCTTTTGTCTTCTACAGTTTTATTTTCATTATGTGCTTCCTCTGCCTAAAACTCTTTAGTAGCTTCTCTTCATGACGTAGAAAGTCTGTTTTCAACAAGATGAAAATCAGAGCTTCTCAATTTTATTTTGGCCTAACTTTCTTACCTATTGAGTAGGGTAAAATACTGCTGGATAGAGCATAAATGAGTACCTTTTCTTTGTTTTTTCTCCCTTAAACTTAAATATTTCTAACTTTTCATTTTGAAATTATTTCAAAATTACTAATAACTTGGAGATATGGTATGAAGAGTTCCTCTGTACTGTTCTTCCATTTTTCCTGATTGCTAACATCTTTGATAATGACAATAAAATTTCAAAAGCAGCAGGTTAATGTTGGTGAAATACTACAGCTTTTACTTAATATCATTAATTCTGTCACTAATTTTTATTTTTTTATCTAAGATCCAATCCAGGATCACACACTGCATTTAAATGTTATGTCTTTTCAGTCTTCTGCACCTAAACCATTCATTCAGCCTTTCTTTGTCTATCATGATATTGTCACTTTTGAAGAGTGCAAAATAGTTATTTGGTAGCACATCCTCAAAAGTCTGATGTTTTCTTATAATTCAAGTAATACATTTTGACAAGAATACTTCAGAAGTAGTGTCCTGCACTTTTCCATGTATCTTATCAGGATACAAAAGTGGCTACTGTCTCATAGATGATAACTTTGTTCACTCAGATAAGGTGTTGTATATATTAGGTTTCTCCTTTGTAAACTTGCAATTTTTGCTATAAGTACCTAGTGAAGAGAACCTTTGCAAATTTTTCTCTTAATGATAGTTTTATTAATTTTAGCATCCTTTTGTTTTTGCTAGTAACAATTAATTACTTGTATAGCCAAATGGTGCTTTTATATATATATGAATAAATATGCTTTTATATTTATAGTTGTCACTTCTCTATATAGAAGGAAAACTGGTTCTTAACACGACATAAGTTTTTGTTTGTTTTGAAATAATTTACTTTTCCCATTGATAGTTCTAGTTTCCTAAAATTTTATGTGATATCAGTAAGTCTAAACCTCACAATTGGTGTAAAAGAACAAATACACTGCCTAATGGTACTTTAATATTCATACTTTTAAAGTGTATTGTCAGCAGACTTGGCCGATGGATTGATTTTGACAACGACTACAAAACTCTGTATCCACAATTCATGGAATCTGTCTGGTAGGTTTATGAATTGCGAATATCAGGAATATGCTATTGTATTTGTCAATGGAAAAGTATATTAGCATGAATTTATTTGCAGATCCAGTTGTCTAGGAATAGATATGTTTTACATTTGATAAAATATGCCATTGTGAATTCTTTAGGATATAATATCTTTAGTAAGTTGAATAGCAACCTATAATCAAATATATTAGCATTTCTGCATTATTAAGTAGAATAAAGAATATAAATATGAATGGGTTGACAGCAACTAAGTTTGCCAAATTAGTTTATGCCAAATGGAAAAATTAGTTTTTAAAAGTACTTTGTGTGTGTGTGTGTGTGTTCAAAGAATTAACCCTGAAAAATTATCAATTTGAATTTAATGCTGAAAGATCCTGTAGGGTGAAGTCACTATTCCATAATAGTTGCAAAATAAATTTATCTCTTTTTATGATCATAAGACAGTAGAAGCAATGCTAATCTTGATAACTGGTTTAACTTGGACCTCCTCGTAGTCTTATAATCATTATTGGTCAAGTAGGCCACTATTTTTTATAGTTTGTTGTTGTTGTTGTTGTTGTTGTTGTTGTTGTTACTGTTTTTGCAGTACTAGGGATCAAACTTGAGACCTTGTGCTTGCCACGTAGCCAAGTAGGCCATTATTACAGTTTTAAAATGCCCTAAATGTATAACATAACCTGGAGGAAATCCTATTTTTATTGTTGTATATAAAAGTATAGATGAGTTACAAAGGTATTTTGCAAGGCAAAATTTCTTTGCCTAACTTTTTCAGTACTTTTAGCTTTTACTGTCGTATCTACCTAGTCCCATTTTTCTGTGAATCTGTTGCACTTGCTTGGTGTATGTCCTTTGCCTCGCAGGACGTAGGCAACCTGGGAGAGTTACTCAGACCCCTTTCCGACACATCGTCCAGTCAGGCTCTCTGACACACCAGACTTTAGACAGGTACTTCCAGTTTCCTGGGGACTGGAGTTACGACTAGAGAGAGCATCTGAAAACCAGGTTTTGTGTCAAACATATCAGACAGAAATTTTAAATTAAGGCTGTTGAGATCTTAAATGCCTTCTGCTTTGGCATCCTAAGTAGCATGTGCCACCACACCCAGTTAAATATTTAGGTTTTTAAATTCAAATTAAAAATTACATGTGAGGGGCTGGTGAGATGGCTCAGTGGTCTAAAGCACCTACTTAGAACAAGCTTAGCAAAGCACAGGGACCATGGTTCAATCCCCCAGCACCACATGCCAGCCAGCCCCGCCCCCTGGTGGGCTGAGCTGCCCCCCACACACACACACAAATAAATAAAATTTAAAAAAAAAAAAAATTACATGTGGCTAGCATCCTCCTGTTAGTATACTTCTGAATCCCACTTCTTAGTTATATATTATAGTAAAAGATAATTCTTATATTTTTGTCACCTCTGCTTTTATCTTTTTAATCAGATTTTATTGGTAATATTTTAGTTTTTATAAAATGTGCTTTAGTCATGTGTGGTGGTACAAGCCTGTACTCACAGCACTCAAGAAGCTGAGGCAGAAAAATTGCCATGAGTTCAAAGCCGTCTTGGACTACACAGCAAGACCCTGTCCCAAAAAATGTGCTTATAACATGAGGAAAACAGTTTTGAAAGGAATAACAAACATTTGTTATTCTTTTTTTTTTTTTTTTTTTTTTTCAGAACCAGGGATTGAACTCAGGCCCTTACACTTGCCAGGCAAGCACTTATTCTACTGAGCCATATCTCTGGCCCCAGAATCCCCCCATCCCCCACCAGAGATTTAACTCAGGACCCTGTGCTTGCCAGGCAAGCACTTAATTCTACTGAGCTATCTCCCCAGGCCCACATTTCTTATTCTTAAGGAGCATGTTGGCATAAAAATAAGATACCTACACATACGGCAAATCTTTTAAATGTCAGGTGATATTCTTAAGAAGGGTTTTGTTTTTGGTTTTTTTTTTTTTTTTTTTTTTTTTTTTTTGCTTGCTCCAAATGCCTTCAGGGCAGGTTTGGCTGGCTTGAGTTGTGGGGATTGAACCACAGCAAC